GTGACCTCTCAGTTCAGCGGTATCAAACACATTTTGTTCTTGAAATTCTTTCTTTATTTGATCCCTGGGATATCACTGTCTTCCCACTTCTCTGGCAGCCTTCTGCAAGCTACTTTTCTTGTGGTTTTCATTCTTGGACATCTCCTTTCCTCTCTCTGCACGTTTGTTCTGGGCAACCTCATCCATGCTGGAGGTACCCAGTACTTATTTCCTAATGATTCTCTAGGTGGTGATGATGCTCAAATTCTGTGTTTCTAACTCAAGAGTGCTCTGCTGGGCTCCAGACTTGTATATACAGCACCCTCTAGATGTGTCCACTTGCATAGACACTCCTATATCCAGCAGACGTTCAAACTCAAAATATCCAAAATGCAGTTTGCATTTTGCCTCCAATGCCACACTCCTCAGTGAAAGCTGTTCTGCTCACACAGTCACCAAAACCATCACAACCAAATGTTGGCTTCGTTCTAGGACCTTCCCTCCCACTTCACCCATACAACCATTTTGTTAGAATCTGTGGAATCTCTCTCCTAAGCACCTCTTGCACCTATGACCCTTCGTTGTCATCTTCCCCAGCTCCCATTCACTCTGCCACCATCTTCACACCAGCCCCTACCGCCTCTTCTCTGGCTTTCCCATCTTTTCTCTGGCGAATGCAAGTCTGATCATGTTACGTCCCCGCTCACCGTAACTTTCAGGGTCAACACAAGCCAACTTGGCCCCAGCTCCGAGCACATTTTAGTGGTCTGACCACTGCCTGCCCTTTGAGCCGCGGCTCTGCTGCTCCCAGGGCACTGGGTGTCCTGCCAAACTGTCCCCTCTGGGGCCCTTGGGCTCAGCCCCCGCACCTTCACTCAGCGATGTTCTCTTCCTGTAACGGTTTTCCTTTTCCTGGTCTCCCTTCTTCCTCCACCTTCTTCACCTTCCTGCCTCCTGCTTGTCCATCAAAATTTAATTGAAGTTACACTCTCTGGGAAGCACCCTTGTCATCCCAGTCGGGTTTAAACCCACCCCCCCACCCCGCCTTGGTGCGCTCAGCCACCTCTCTCAATGTCTGTTCTGAGAGGCAGTACAGGTTGGTGTTAACAGCAATGACTCAGGACAGACAAAAAATGTTTGGGGTCAAACGCCAGCGCTGCCACTTCCTCGCTGTGTGACCTTGGCCAGGCAACTTCCATGCCCTGTGCCTTAGTTTCCCCGTAAAGTACAGATGCTAATGGTACTGCCCAGTCCAAAGGGTGGTTAGGAAATTAAGTGAGATGCTCTATGTAAAATCCCTGGAACAGTGCTGGAGTCTGAACAAAGCTGAGCTATTTTTATTGTTATCATAACTACTGATTTACTTCACTGCTTTCCAAAACAAACAGAAAGATCTTTGAGGGAAAGAAACCATGCCTGACTTAACTATGTTTGACCTAGCACAGCATCTGGGACAAGGTAGGTACTCAGTAAATATTCACTGAATGAATGAAAAAATAAAGATAGTAAATAAATGAAATACAGCCTTAAAATTTTACCTTTAAAGTATGTTAGTGAGTAACGGCACTCTAACTTTATCATATATGCGTTTTTACTTGCACATTAAGATGCTGATGGTATCACATCAACTTAGTGCAACCGACTCACTGTTCTTAGAGCCAAGAATCTCCCACTTCTGACAGAAGGGCGCAATGTCGTTAATTAACAGAAATGTTCTGGAAACCACTATGTAGGCATGACCTGTGATAAAATTCCTTTGAGACACATGTAGAGAAACAAAATTTGAATTCCTACCAGAAATAGATCAGAAAGCCTTGCAAGTTAAATGGGAAAAAAGAGTAGAGACACTTTTTAAGAGTTCAACTTCAAGACCCATTGGGTTTGCAGTGACTCATCAGTGGAAGGCAGGGATGGGCCTGCGAGAATTCTCCATCTCTAGCCACTGCCCCGTGGATCCTGCAGAGAAGAGTCTGGAGAAATGTGATAAGTGGGCAGAAGGAAGCGTCAATCATTTTTTTCTCCATGTTCTTCATGAAAGCATCACTTCTTGTATACTTTTTTTTCACCCCATAAATTCCTTTGAACCTGAATGGAGATGCTATATAATAATGGGCATTTGGTATCTCCACCATTTGGGGGATCTTATAAAAGGTATTTCCACCCTTAGTAATTTTAGAAGGTCTAGAGAACTCCGAGGAGAAGCCAGTCTCGAATCCGTGCCTTGAATATCCCATACTTCTTTACCAAAAGTAAACTATGTGACAGAAAAGAGCTATATGACAAAAGAAGACTATACCTCACCCTCTGTCACAGAGTTTTTGTATCATGGAAAGACTTGGAAAACTTGAAAACATCTATGAGGGTTTTTTTGTAATTATAAATAAGTGCAATTCTATTCTGCAGGTGCTAAGTAGAAATGTCTGCTCTTTCTAAGTAGAAATGTCTGCTCTTACTTTGTTCGTCTTCTTACAACCCAGGCCTGGGTTTACAAAACATGGCGATAGAAAACAAGGGCAGGGTGAATTTTATAGTAATTTTATAGGAGCTTATAGAATTACTCAGATATGGAATTGTCAATTTTCCTTTTTTGCCATGAGTTATTTCTAAAACACAATCCAACTCTGTGTAGGTCAGAAAACAGTTTGATTCAATTAATTTGCTGTGGAAAGTGAAAATCCCTTATAAATAATTCCAATCCATAATTCATGAAAAGAGTGGATTTCTATTTATTTCTTTTTTATTTCCAAGGCTAGAATAGTCTCAGTCTTCCTTTCCATCAGATCTAGTTCACATTGGATCTGTAATGAGCTTTCTTGGGAAGAAGATAATTACAACAACGACTAGACACTGAAATAAATAATTCATGACTGGCTACATCCTAGCATCATAACAACCTCCACAATTTACCATCCCCATTTTACAGATTAGGAAATTGAGATTTAAACAGATTAAGCAATTTACACGAGAACTTGGATTTCAACAGGAGAATTCCGAAGTGCATGCACTTCCGGCCGTATCACAGTCCACCATTTAATAAAAAGAATCCCATAGGATTTCAGCA